GCAGTGCAGGTGACTTAATCGCTCACTGAATCAGTGCAGGTGACTCATTCGCTCACTGAATCAGTGCAGGTGACTCATTCGCTCACAGAATAAGTGCAGGTGACTAATTTGCTCACTGAATCAGTGCTGGTGACTCATTCTCTCACTGAATCAAAGCATTTTGAGAGCCGGTTCGGAGCCGGTGCCTGCGCGCGAACCAGTTCTTTGTGTTTCGACAGCCAAAGAACCGGTTCTCGGCCAGGAGAACTGGTTCCAAAGCGGCACCAACTCTTTGCTGGACTAGAATTACTAGAAATATGATTTCACATCATATAGATGTATGAGTAAAACAGCTTTCCTTTTCTGCAGAGACGACAGCTTAAAGGGCAGAGGATATTTCTAGTGACTCATTCTCTCACTGAATCAGTGCAGTGCAGGTGACTCATTCTCTCACTGAATCAGTGCAGTGCAGGTGACTCATTCGCTCACTGAATCAGTGCAGTGCAGTTGACTCATTTGCTCTCAGAATCAGTGCAGTGCAAGTGACTCATTCGCTCACTGAATCAGTGCGTGACTCATTCGCTCACTGAATCAGTACAGGTGACTTATTCGCTCACTGAATCAGTGCAGATGACTCATTCGCTCACTGAATCAGTGCAAATAAATCATTCGCTCACTGAATCAGTGCAGGTGACTCATTCGCTCACTGAATCAGTGCAGGTGACTCTTTCGCTCACTGAATCAGTGCAGGTGACTCATTCGCTCTCTGATAGCTGATGAAGACAAATTTGTTGTATTGTTACGTATGAAAGTTACGGAAATAAGACTGGAATTCCTGACAACTCGTTTGAGCAGTTCAGAATGGATTCTTTCTTTTAGGGAGTATCTTAATCTTATCTACACTCTGATCTTTAAAACTTTGCAGAGCTTTTACATTCACAAACAGCTCTATTACACACTACAAAAGCATAATAAGGGCAGAATGATGTCAGAATGTGCTTGCCGCTTTGGCTTTGTGGGTGCTCAATAATCATTTAATAGATATAAGCGATTAAAATTCATAGGTAATGCATCAACACAGGGAAGAAACATCACAGAATAATAAATAAATGAGCGAGTAGGTGTAAATGTGTCCCACTTTCAGCTGCTAGGTTGAAAAGAAATATCCTCTGCCCTTTAAGCTGTCGTCTCTGCAGAAAAGGAAAGCTGTTTTACTCATACATCTATATGATGTGAAATCATATTTCTAGTAATTCTAGTCCAGCAAAGAGTTGGTGCCGCTTTGGAACCAGTTCTCCTGGCCGAGAACCGGTTCTTTGGCTGTCGAAACACAAAGAACTGGTTCGCGCGCAGGCACCGGCTCCGAACCGGCTCTCAAAATGCTTTGGTGGAAAAGGGGCATTTGAGAGTTACATTTTACTTTATAGATCATCAGTATTGTAATGAATAATTGATGTTAAAACTCTTCAGAATTACAGTACAAACTGCAGGATTCCTCTCAGGACATTTTTTATCCTTGATTTAGTGTCTACCGGGGGATATTTCCGCGTCGGTGGCGTTGCACCCTGATCATCAGTGAATAGCGCTTGCTTTCCCACAGAAGCGAGTCTCTCTCCCAGAACACATCAGACGACCCATCACTCCTCATGCTTTCATCTTAATTACAGAAGCTCCTGTGAACACATCTGCAGCTTCTCTTTGGCTGAGTCTGGAACCCATGTCTGATCTTCTGGCATCCATGAGAACTGCTTTTAGTGTTATGGATGCAGTAATAATATTAGTTCTTTAAGTCATTTACTTTGTTCTAAAAGCAAGTGGTCTGCCTTCCTAGATAGCGTTCTGCAGCATCACACACACATGAAAGCTGTTACCAAAGGAAGCTGTTGGCCAGCTTCTAAAGATGCCATGCACAATATATCGGCCACCATATCGGTATCGGCCGATATATGTTCATTTTTAATGTTATCGAAATTGGCCCAATAAAAAGAAAAAATCTGTCCGATATATTAAAGTCGATAAATAATGGATTATTTCCTTCAGCTGACACACTTCTGAATAGCTTAAAATATGATTGGAATCACTTCAAAAAGGAAAATACTGTAAAGTGCAACACTAGTCTAGGCCTACTACTTTGTTTCTGCAGTATTTTCAATTTTGATATTTTTAGGTCAAACCGTTCTTGTCTGTCATATATAATGGAGGTCTATGGTCACCACCTCAAAGAGCATGCACAGAGAAGTCCAAATTAAACATGATTTAATGACTCGATGTAAGTACACACTGATGGCCTAAGACACGAAATGAGCGGTTTGTGTGAGAACCTCTTTTTACCTCTTTTTAACACCCATGTCGAACTGATCTGAATCAGATGTCCAACTGAACCGTACTGAACCGTGTCCAGACGTTACGCCGGAAGTGATCTCTCACGCATTGTTTACACGGAGATTTCGGAAGTTTTACCTTTCACTAAACGTATTAAGATATACAGGAAATCGCAATGGAAAACGATTTCGATATATCTAAATATGTTTAGTGAAAGGTAAAACTGAACCAACCAAATGTAGACGTTCTGACCCGGGAAATGAAGAAAAACAGCATAAAATGCAAGTGATGCAGATTTAAATTATCCAGTGTTTTTCTTTCCAAAATATTTTGAAAAGTCATGAAAAAAGTCATCAAAACATTGGTCTGGTATGGCGAAGAAAAAGAGGAGAGCCCTTGTTGCCACTGTGGCCACGAGCGCTGTAAACCGTGCCTCCATATCACGTGAAATGTCTTCAAATACGGATTTATTTCTGTAACAACCCTGCATTTTTGCCTGCACTCTTCAAGCCAAACACTCAAAACACATGAAACCTCCGCATTGCATTGCACTTTTTTAATGACATATGACTCGTATTTACTGGGGAATATCCGATTTGTCTGCTTACATGGCACACGCAAATGCACGTATCCGATCTATTACCACATATAAGAGAATCATATCTGGGATTCTGAGACATCTGAGAAAATCGGAATCCATGCGTTTTTTTTCCTGCTTACACGTTCACCGGTCATATCCGATCTGTGCCACATGAGAGGAAAAAATTGGATTTGGGTCACTTGAACCATGCAGTGTAAATGGGGCCTAGCTTATTCATAACCTAACATATTCATACTAAGAGCTAAAAAACGTAAAGTTTTATTTTAGGGGGCCTTTGAGGCAGGATTTTAACCCTTGCCAGAGTGAGTGTTAAATTAACACTGAGAGTGTGAATTACTGTATATAAACTCTGAGCAGAGTGTTAATGAACACTAAAGCAGTGTTAAAGTTCATGAGATAATTAAGTGATTAATTGAGTAAGACACTTAACAAGCAGAATCACTAAAGGAGAAAACCGTAATTTTAAGTCATCTTTATGGTGATCAGTGTTCACTTTAGTTGGGCTCTTGACCCTTAAATCGTTAACTTTAGATTTTGTTTGGCTGCTGTATATGAGTTATAACAGCCAGATGAATAAATAGAAAAGATGACACCTTCAGGTGTCTTCAATAATACTCAATCACTTAATTATCTCATTAACTTTAACACTGCTTCAGTGTTCATTTAAGTTTAGATGATTCACACTTTCAGTGTTGATTTAACGCTGGGGATTTTGCTTTGTAGAAGATATTACATACTAGGAGATACACTAATCCACCACTGTAATCACCTAATGAAGCGGGACACATGGACATTGATCCAGGACAAATCCAGGACACACGTCTGCCTGGGAGGCATGATCAGATCATATATGCTGGCTGGGGTTTATTTATACATATACTCGGTGCATATAGAAAGCATGAAATATTATAGTGCAGGGATGCACCAGTACTGAAGGTTTGGCCATATTCTTCATGTATCCGGCCGGATTAGGCATTGAAACATTTTGTCAGAGAGTAAAAGAGAGCAAGAGTGAGAGAGAGAGAGTGTTTGTGTGTGTGTGTGTGTGTTCTCCAGACTCTGATATGACTGTCCTATATAGATATGATAAAGCCCAGTGCTGATTGTGTTGGATTTTCAATGAACACACACTGAAAGCTTTAATGATAACAGTGCTTGTCTTCATGTTTTGCATGTTCTTCATAATTTCGGTCCTGAATCTTGAAAGTTTGATAGTTTAGAAGTCTTGTTAGTGCTGTAAGAGTTGAGATTGTAAGGAATGAACATTGGGCTAAAACCACCTGTTGTTTTTGTCTTTTTCGTGTCATAACCCATTAAAGGTTGTGGTTATGGCCGTTTACAGAAGCCTCCACATCTCAGCTCAAGAGTGTCCCGTAGCTCCTCGAAACCCTGACCTTGAGCAGACCCCCAGTGTTGACCAGTACTCCACACACACACTCTTCTTTAACACTGGGGGTTGCTGATTTCAAGGTGCACATTCTTGTTTCTCAAGATTGAAAGGATCGAGATTGTTAAAAATGCCATTTTTGGGTCGGTCTATTATGATTTTGCTTTGTCAGTAGTCAGAGTGCATGCAGAATATTTCAGGGTTGAGTGTTGTCTGACCCTGTGGGTTTTAAATCCCCCAGATTGGGCTTGATCATCTCTGTGAGGGACTGAAATGTTGAAAGGCCTATTTTATTTGTGCGTTTTGAGTAATTCTGTTTGTTTGCTGTAGTTACTGCTCAGTTATGAGGTTTAAAACACTGATTCAGACTTGTGGACCGTGTGGCTGAAGGACAGGATCTCGTTGCTCAACCGCCGGCACATATGACTGATGGATCATTATCACAGACAGACAGCTCATCGAGTTTCTGTAGCTTGAAGCCTTTATTTCACACACGTGCACAGAGTGAGTGTGTTTCACCCTATCATGTCTCTCAGCACTGGTGTCAGAGTGAGTCAGAGACGTCTCCGGAAGCCAAAGACTCGCAGAAACCTGTCCGTCCCAGTGTAGACAGCTCTGCCTCACATCACATATGATCCAGTGTGTGTATGTGTGTGCAGGAGCCCAGCACAGGTGTGAGGTGTTCATCAGTGTGTGTGTGTGTGTGTGCAGGAGCCCAGCACGAAGCGTGTGAAGCCTCTGTCTCGAGTGACGTCTCTGGCGAGCCTCATTCCTCCAGTTAAAGCGGCTCCGCTGAAGCGCATCGGACAGACCCTGCAGGTACTGCTCTCCCGCACTCACTCTTCATCTGAGTCAGGCTCTTTAGGATATATGCTATTGTAATAAAAGTTTATCTTTATAATTTTCTCAGTCTCACTCATTTAGAATAATAAGACACTGATACCAATATAATGAAAGCAGTATAAACACAAATCCATCATTGCACTGCAGAAGATGCAGTCGTGGCTTAGTCGTGATTCGTTTAAATGACTGATTAATTTGGTAAGTGAATCATTGATGAAACTGATTTGCTCAAGGCAGACTCGTTCAGTAACAAAGTTGTGTTATGTGTTGCTCGGAGATGCAGATCTGTTCTGCTGTGCTTTTGTTTGGAATTTTATTGACAAAATAATGCAAACTCATTTTCAAGTCAAACTGCAACTTTTGCTCATGTGATATTGCTTAACTATATCTTTTGATGTAAGACTGGACTCGCGTGGGGAAAACAGTCAAGTATATATTACACTTTGGTGTAATTTTAACAGCATTATAGTTACATCAGGCAGTGAAAGCCTCACACTCACTGTGTGTTTTGTTTGTTTTTGTTTTTTGTTTTTTTTGAAAAGCCAGTGACCTACTCGATAACTTCCACAACGCTAAAAAATAATTACAATTTTATCGCAGATGATACACATATCACACCTGACAAGTAATACATAAAAACAACACAACAATGGAGCATTCCATGCTTGAACTAGTTAACCCTGGGTCGTTCTAAACCCTGGGTCGTTCTAAACCCCGGGTCGTTCTAAACCACCGGCCGTTCTAAACCTCAGGTCGTTCTAAACCCCGGCCGTTCTAAACCCCGGGTCGTTCTAAACCCCTGGGTCGTTCTAAACCCCCGGTCGGTCTAAACACCCGGTCGTTCTAAACCCCGGGTCGTTCTAAACCTCGGCCGTTCTAAACCCCTGGGTCGTTCTAAACCCCGGGTCGTTCTAAACTCCGGGTCGTTCTAAGACCCGGGTCGTTCTAAACCCCGGTCGTTCTAAGCCCCGGGTCGTTCTAAACCCCGGGTCGTTCTAAACCCCGGGTCGTTCTCAACTCCGGGTTGTTCTAAACTCTGGGTCGTTCTCAACCCCGGCCGTTCTAAACCCTGGGTCGTTCTAAACCCCATTTCGTTATAAACCCCCGGGTGTTCCAAACCACGGGTCGTTCCAAACCACGGGTCGTTCCAAACCACGGGTCGTTCTAAACAACAGCTGACGTTTTCCACTGTACATCGCTAATTCCCAGTTTTCCCATTCTCCCTGTTCAGCGCTCCATCAGTTTCCGCAGTGACTGCCGCCCGGAGATCATGGCCCCGCGGCAGATCCCGCCAGCCGCCACCAAGCGCCGTGACAGCAAGCTGTGGAGCGAGACGTTTGACCTGGGCCTGGGACACATGCTGTCCTCCAGAGACATCAAGAGACAAGAGGTGACCTCACCACACGCCAGACCATACTCTACTCTGATTGGTCAGGGCTGGATTTTGATATACTGTATTTCTCACCGTATTTGAGCTAAAAGACTGGTTTAGAAAACCATCAATAGAGTATTAAACATAACCGTTCCACTATTCTTGTCTGTGGTTTTAAATTTGCTGTTAAATTGTTTGTTAGATATTTCAGTAGCACAGAAAGTAGCAGTTCACTCACTCAACACACACACAGATTATTTGGATTAAACTAAATCGTATATGTAAGTAAAACATGAACTGTTAGCTGATTTATGTATATCAAGTGGATCCCTACATTATCACAGGAAAGCGTCATGTGCCGTACCGCTGCACTGGAGCGGCTCGAGATGTGTGTCGTGCTGTTACATCAAAGATAAATTACCGTAGAACAATTAAATGTACAGTGAAGGTTAACAGGCATAATCAAGCATGAATATGACGTATAAACGGGTAAATAACCAGAATGTCCTCAAGATGCTTCTCGCTTAAGTTCCTCTTTCTGTTGTCTTTCCTGTCATGTTTGTCAGTCCATCTTTGAGCTGTCTCAGGGAGAACAGGACCTGATTGAGGACTTGAAGCTGGCCAAGAAGGTACACTTCACTTGCCCCATCACTTCATACAGCATGAAGACTCTGGTTCTCCAGCACAGTGGTTCCCAAACCTTCTCAAATCAACGTCTTTGACATAAAATATTTTACCTACCTAATATTTCCATAATTAAACACATTCTACATTTCATTATTTAATCGATAATTAGCTTTTAATCAACTCTGATTTCGGAAGCCCTGCCCTAGCATATGAGATACTGTGGTGTCTGTTTTGACAATCTGTTCTTAGCTTTACACTTTTCGGTAAGATTTCCACATACTTCCTCAGATTTGAGTGTTTAAGTGTCTGATTGTGTTATTTCGCCACAGGCGTATCGTGACCCCATGCTGAAGCTGTCGATTATGGCGGAGCATGAACTCAATCAGATCTTTGGCACGCTGGACTCCCTCATTCCCCTGCATGAAGGTGAGCAAAAGAGCATTACACACACCATATGTGTGTGTCTGAACCAGGCGCCGTGCTGTACATTCACAGCTGGATATGCTTATCCAAAGGGAAGGAGAAAAGCTGTGCGACCTGACCCAATAACAGCAAATCAGAACCCAAGTGATAAAGCCAATCGTGATAACACAAAAACATGGAATATTGATTTAAGTTTAAATTATGTTATTAGGTGAGGTGACATCACAGAAGATCACACAAATAAATGCCGGAGCATCTAAAATCAGATCCGGACTCGCTGTTCCGACACAATATCCATGCTTCCATCCAAAGTTGGGAATTTAACCTGCTATGTGCAAAACTGGAATATGGCATAAAACATTTGTGAATAAACGCTGTCAGGATCTCTTGCGTTGGGATGCTGAACACTAGGGCTGGGTATTAAGACAAATTTCACAATTCGATCCGATTTCGACTCACAAGCTTGCAATTCGATTCGATTTCGATTACGATTCGATTCGATTCAATATCGATTATTTTGGATATCAGTTACAATAAATGGCCATTTTTCTCAAGGAAATCAAATCTCTTAACTAATGCTGTAAACTATGGGAGTCTAGTTGTAGCCTACTAGGCTTCATTAGCCTAATATGAAGGTAATAATGAATGAATCACTTAAATTACACTTTTATTTATTTTTATAATAAGAATATTATATGAAATATAAACATTTAAATGGTGGCTGTCATAAAAAAAACTTGCCAGATTTATTCAAATATGAAGGTAATAATGAATGAATCACTTAAATTACACTTTTATTTATTTTTATAATAAGAAGATTATATGAAATATAAACATTTAAATGGTGGCTATATATTTAGCAAAATGCTCCTCTCTGTGTAGTAATTTTTTCCTAGCTGACTATAACGAGTTGATGTGGGTTTTCTGACGATACATTGATTACAAGCTGTTTAACTGACGTCTTTCCACGGTTAAAACGCTGATTGAGCGAATCAATGTGACATGATATGAATTTCGATAAGTTGTACTCTATCTTTTAACACACTTTCAGGCGCTCATTCATGTTTATTTCGCGCTGTAACTGGTATTATTAAGCCGGAAGAGAGATCAGCGCTGCTGCTTCTCATCAGCTGCACCAGAGCGATCTCACGCCACAGCGCCAAAACGCTATTTATGTTTTTGAATTTCTAAAGAAAATTGACGTAATTTGAAAATTGAGACTTTGCTTCATATCAATAGTAACAAAGGACAAAGATTATTGCGATTTCTTTTTTATGCGCGCAGCCGCGATACAATCCCATTCATTCAAATGAAACAGGATGAATAATCGATTCTTGAGACTTAAGAATCGATATCGGTTCGTAAAAATGAGAATCGATTAATATCGAGAAATCGATATTTATTACCCAGCCCTACTGAACACACTCGTGTGAGATCATCCTGATCACAGACTGGCTCTGCGATGGATTTTCACGATTAATACCGTTCCAAATTATTAAATATCCTGTCCAGAATATTAATATAATCCCGTGGTAACTAAAGAACCTATCCTTTAGTCATGTCCTCAAGAGTTAGGAGATCAGACTATATACATTTGTATTGTATTATAGAAATAATAGATTTCCCCTTTATATTATATGTCTACCTTTTTGTGGGACTCTTCAACCGTGTTCGCACTATAGAGAGCCACCATTTAAATGTTTATATTTCATATAATCCCGCCCCTCCGCTTCCAGCTCATGGGACCTTATTTCGGAAAAAATATGTGTGGTAGTCTATGGCGAGAGACAACTTTTCTTTTTATTCCGTCTGAACTGTGCCCTGAATTACACATAAGATAATTCTGAAAGTTGCAGTTTGTCATAAAACAGAAGAGTACATTTAGTTTTATGTGAAAATCGCTCAATGAACTACATCTCCCGTCCCGGGAAGCAAAACAACGAGCAAGATCCGCTGCTCGTGTGTGTGCAGTCTGGTACAATGACGGCATAATGTTACGCTTATAACGTAAGACTATGGAAACAATGACAGACATTAGCCTCAGTAAAGTTAGCTTCATTCATTGAGAGAAAATGTGCGCCTTTGGGGTTTGTAGTCTTTGTAATTACGTAGTTTGACTTTCTTTACTTTACAATGTATCTATCTTTATCAATGTGTAATTCAGGGCACAATTCAAACGAGATCAAAATATTTGTTGTCTCTCGCCATTGACTACCATACAATGTTTTTTCCGAAATAAGGTCCCATGGTCGACCGGAAGGGGAGGGACTTAGGCTCTCTATAAAAACTTGTCATACATATATCCTATACGTGTATACATGTTATATGCTGCCTCTTTGGCTAGGCTGTTTGATCAATGAATTATCACAGTGATTGTTCTTATCTTGTCAAATGAATGTCGATCTCTTCAGGAAGGGTCCTCCCGGCCCGGTGACTCGCACTCAATGATCCAAGGTCCAGTCAGATGATTATAATAAATGCTACAAAATGTATTAAAATAATCAAATGAAAAAGGAATGCTTGTTACAGATCATAAATGAACTAGGCTATAAGGGTTAAATGAATTAACTAGGCTTGAATTAACTATAGGTTAAATGAATTAACTAGGCTTGACGCTTCTTGCCCCTGATACTGCTGGTGTGTCAAGGAAGAGCAGAGAACTTCTCTTTTTCTTCCTCTTATATAGTCTTTTCATGCAGCTGGCTTTTGTTCCCTCTAAGCGCACTAAAAGCATCTAATTATCTATAATAAGTAGCATAAAAAAGAGCTATGTTTCCAACATGCTTGCATAAGACCGCTGTTGTTGAGAAGGAGATACGTTTTCAACAATAACAAGTGATTAAAAGATATGAGGTCCCTCGTGCATGTGATTAGCTCATATAGCTGAGGAGGAAAGGCTCAATAATACATTTGAAATGTTCATAGCTTCCATTAGCTCAGACACTTCCCTTAAACAAGTTGCATTACGCGGTGACCTTTCCGACCTCTGCGTTTTGGATAAAGGCTGGGGTTCTGCTGAAGTTTACGAGAAAGCGAGACCCATGCCATTCTCAGATGGGCCTATTTCGTTTCAGAAACACCAAACCAGCATCTGAGAAGCTGCGATGCCATTGGTCCGCTGGTTACTCCAGTTATCCAATCACAGCCTCCACTGAGTTTATTGTTGCGCTTCGAGAGATTTATTCAGTAAATGTCTTTCCATCGTAGTTTATGCACATTTTCTCATCCGATGAAAAGTTTTTATGTACCTTTTTAGAATTGATGCTCATCCGGCTTTATTTCTATGCAGTATCCTAAAAACAGGTGTATGGAAAGAACCTTCTCCTCCTCCGCTCCTTTCTGGAGCTGTTATCCTCCACCTGAACTGCTAAAGAAGCAGCTAACAAACATAAATGTAGATCAATTCACACTTATAAGTCAACCTAACACAGAGACTGTGTCTTTTCCCTGAATGACTAGAAACAATACTTTGATTGAAAACATGTGCTATAGACCTGCTGTCCTGCAGAGTTTGGCTCCAGCCCTGATCGAAGACCCTGGCTAGCTGGAGCTGGAGCTACACTCTGCAGTACGGTTGCCCCCCAGACCTGATGTAGACCGCTCCTTCCTCAGTGAACACCCACGCTGTCTTTCTCTGATCCTGCAGATCTGCTGAGTCGGCTGCGAGAGGCCAGGAAGCCGGATGGCTCGACCGATCGCGTGGGCCATATTCTAGTGGACTGGGTAAGATTACAACCCTGCGTTGTCTCTTTCTGCTTTTGTTCCAAAACATTTCTCTCATCATTGGTCAATAATGTGTAGTCCCATGCATTCTGCACATTTGTATTATTCTATATCACAACCGACATGGTAACACTTTAGAATACTGTATCTTACTTACTACATAACTAATAAGGAATTAATGAAGACCTAATAGTTAATTCTTTATTAACACTTACGTCACTACTGTTAACTACTGAGGAAGATGTGTTAACTAATCAGTATGTAATATAATTGTATGATTGTGTTAAGTATCAGTTAGCAGTGTTGTAGTACTCGAGACTCGGACTCGTCTCGGACTCGGTCTCGAGACCATATTTTAATGGTCTTGGTCTTGTCATGGACTCGTGTGCATTTGGACTCGGAATTGACTCGTACTCGAGCATTTTTTTTTTAGGACTCGGAATTATTCCCGAGTCCACTCGAGTTCAATTAAAAATATTTTTCATGATTATTAATGTATGTGAATAAAATATTTCTTTAAATTGATTGACACGCCCAGTGATTGGTGATTTTCTAGTGCGCAACTGCGCATGACAAATTGTAATAAAATTACTTTTAACACCACCTACTATGTGGCCGTTTTACCCTAAACTGATCATATTTTTTAAACTCTAAGTAAATTCAGTAAAAAAAAAAAAAGGATTTCTCTAAGTAAATAAAAGTAAATTAGGTAATCAACCTTCACTGGTCTCGGTCTCGACTCGGACTCGACCGTCTCTGGTCTCGGTCTCGACTCGGACTCGACTCTCTATGGACTCGGTCTTGACTCGGACTCGACCGTCTCTGGTCTCGGTCTCGACTCGGACTCGACTCTCTATGGACTCGGTCTTGACTCGGACTCGACTCTCTCTGGTCTCGGTGTCGACTCGGACTCGAGTGAGGTGGTCTCGACTACAACACTGTCAGTTAGTTAATCAATAGCTAATGAATTCTGTCATACCTCCTGAAGAACTACTATTAGTTATCTATTAATTAAGGTTCAAGAAAAATAACTATGAAGTAACTACTAATTAACAGTCATACACAGTAGTCAGTTTGTCATTCTTCAGCGCTAATAAGAAAGATACAGTAAGTGCAGACATTTACCTATAGGCTATGATCTGCAAATAAGCAAAAACATATCATGGATATCACACCTTATTAATATACTTAGTTCTTATACATTTTAAACTTCTTTTTTCCATTCAAATTTTGGCAATATCGCGGTAGCCACATACACTGAGCCTGGGTTCTCCCAAGGTTTTTTTCTCCATTCTGTCACCTGATGGGGTTTTGATTCCTTGCCACTGTTGCCTTTTTCGCCTCTCTTCGCCTTTGTCGCTATTGGCTTTTGGCTTGCTTAGTTGGGGACATTTAACATTTAATTTTGAATTTAACAATACTATTACAACATTGTTTTCCTGTTATCACTGTGGAGCTGCTTTGAAACAATTTGTATTGTAAAAAGCGCTATATAAATAAAGGTGACTTGACTTGACAGTGATTTGGTGACGCAAGAGCGCGGGCATTTGCATCCTCCTCTGGAGAGTTCTCAGCCCTGCCGATTTGGTGCATTTCTTTAGCGAAATACAGATTTATTTAATCCATAAAATTATTACTGTGCTGTAAATCATTTTGTTTTATGCAAGGCAACATACAAGGACACACGATGTCAGTTACCCTATAGCTAGCTAAATCTATTTACATCAGATGTTAAAATCTGTTCTCAGCGCTGTGCACTGTTATGGGCAGGTTATGGAGTCAAGTATTTTTTTTATTCTAAAATGTTAAATGAGTGTAAATGTAGGCAGTATTATACATGTTAAAATGAAATGAAAATTTTGCTGTTTTAAAAAATGTTCTCATCTGAAATAAAGGAAGATATCATGTGAACAAGTAATTGTCTTGTATTTTACAAGGGTTTAGATGATTACGTTTTTTTACAGTAAGTTTGATTTGAGTCAGAAGTATGTGGTAATTCTTTATTAATTACTAATGGGTTCCCTGTATTGTCACTTTAGAATACTGTTTCAGGTTCTAAGTAATTACTGAGGGACTATCTAATAATTACTTATTAATTACTAATAAGTTCCTTATATTTTTACTTTAGAAGACTGTTTCAGGTTATAAGTAGCCTAATTCCTGGATAATTATTTGATAATTCTTTATTAATTACTAATGGGTTCCCTGAATTGTCACTTTAGAATACTGTTCCAGCTTCTACGTAATTCCTGCAGATGATTTGATACTTATTTATTAATTACTAATAAGTTCCCTAATCCCTATACAGTATTTTCAGTTTCCCTCAGTCGTTGCCTCAAATACATGAATTTACGCATTCTATGCTGAGGAAAACAGACACGCACAGTACTGTATATAAAATATACAAATAATCTGAGGTTAGTTTTGTATGACTGTTCAGTAGTTACTTCTTAGTTATTTTTCTTGAACCTTAATTTGTAGATAATTAGTAGTAGTTCTTCAGGAGGTATGACAGAATTCATTAGTTATTGATTAACTAACTGATACTTAACACAATCATACTGATTAGTTAACACATCTTCCTTAGTAATTAACAGTAGTGAAGAAGTAGTTAATGAAAAATTGCCTATTAGTTCATCATTAATTCCTTATTAATTCTGCAGTAAGTAAGATACTGTAACGTACGGACAGAGACGGTCGGATCCATGTGCAGCACTTTATTAAAACAGGCAGACATGAAAACTGGCAAACACTTAAACAAAGGGGCAATCCGGAAACTCGTGGTCTAAACAGGCAATGGTCGAGGCAGGCAGCACAGGTTCGAGAGCAGTCCAGGAAACAGGCAAGGGTCAAGAGTCCAGGGAAACACGGAGACACAGAACAGGAATAACGCTCGGAATTGTACGCTTACAGGGTAACAAGACTTCGCAAGGGACACAGGGAAAATCAGGCTTAAAATAAGGAACTCAATAACCAATAATGAAACACAGCTGAACATAATGAAACACAAAGAGTCCATGGGGAAACAAACATGGGGAGAGGGTGCCCTCTAGTGGCTCTCGAGGGCACCACGGCTGCTGATCGTCACAGATACAGTATTGTAAAGTGTTACCGACATTTGTTTTTAATCTTTTAGCTGAGTAACCAGAAAAACCCATGGTTCCACAATCGTCATGTAAAAGGTTTATGATTTTGAGATCATTGGTCACTGTCTTGACCACGGGACATTACCTGGCTCTGATATCATCTCAC